CGACGCTCCTCCGCCCACGCTGGACAAATTACCAGCGTGTGCTGCGCCGTGTCCTCGTCCCCGCCGCAATGGTGGCAGCGCGCGCTGTCCTCTTTCCCGATGCGACACAGGTATGAGCCGAAGCATCCATGGCCCGTGAACACCTGCGTCGCACGGTACGACATCTCGCCACCGGCCCGATCAGCCCATTTGACCAAATGGGGCCGGATGACCTCAACGACGCGCCTCCCCAATGTATCTCGGAGGTCGGAAAGATGTTCGTCCCACCTCTCCAAAGCGCGTCGCCTGGTTTGGAGTCTCACAGCGGCCTTGAAACTTGGGGTCAACGCCACGCTTAGCTCGCCGAGCTCCCGCGTACGCCTGTACACGTGGGCGTACATATCGGCGTAGAGCTCGACGGGCGGCGTCCCCGCCAATAATGTGGCCGCCGTGTGCGACACCGTCCTGTAACCGCGGACAACCCTGATGGCCACCTTACGAAAAACTCGGCGCAGCAACATCTTGCTGCGCCTTTTGGTCATCAGGGCGTCCGCACACACCGGTGACCCGTAAAGGGCCACCGACAGGACAGTGTTCGCGTATAGGCGGCGCACTCGGCCATCCGGGCCCCCAAGATTGGGCAAGAGTTGGCTCAGGCTAATAGCCACCGACTCCACCCTGGGGACCAGGCGCTCAAAGTGCCCGCCAAAACTCCAAGCCGCGTCCAGGTAGAGACCGAGGTATTTTAATCGGTCCCCTACTCGGACGGAGATGTCACCTACCGTGACATAGGCCTCGGCGGGGGGAATGGGCGCCCCCATGGGTCCGCGTCCAAAGAGCGCAGGAGTTCATCCCACGCTCTGGCCTTGGCCTGCCTGATCGCGGCGCTGAGGGCGTTCCTAGCGGTACGGAACCCCTCATATGCCTTCGCCGTCCTCTCGGCGTCGGAGCGACGCCGAGCCCGGGTGAAGCGGCGCCTGGCTGCGACGGAGAGTCGCCTGAGTTCGGCGATCTCCTCGCACCACCAGTACGCCGCCCTTCGCGGGCGGGGGCTGGCTCGGGGCATTGCGAAGTCGCACGCATCGCGCAACGCGCCCCGAAACCAGTTTACTTCGTCGGTGATCCCCCGCCCTTCCCCCCGGGACACGGCCAGTCTGCCGCGAGGACGGCTGCGATCAGCCTCTTGTGAACCGGGAACCCTAACGCGTCGATTTCGCGTTGAAGTGCCCGGCCACTATGATTGAACGGGGCATCTGTCGGCGGAAACAGGCCGACACCCCGTCCAAATACGCCTCATACTGGGCGAGGCCCACGTTCGGGGAGATGTAACACCCCAGCACTGAGATGGGCCCCCATCTGACCACCACAACTCCCGCCCCGGCCTCAACCGGTGTGCAAGGCGGGAGTGTGGGGTCACTTCTCCACGTGATCGCGACGGAGCCTGTCCGGTCGCCAATCCAACATGGACCGGCTTCCGGAACTTGGTATGGCTCCGCCGCGATTCCCAATCCGAAACCACACTCAGCCAGGCTATGCAGGAAGAGATCCTGCGCCCGGCGAGCGTGGTTCAGATTGGCCTGCAGTATACCCAGGGGCATTTGATTATTTGCCCCCGGGTTCCGCCATCACTACCTCCGCTAAGGAAGCGGAGGGTGTGGCGGCTGCAGGCCGGGCCCTCGGGTGCCTTTTTTCCTTGGGGGCCTCCGTCGGGGTCCCCCTATCCTCCGCCCCGCGCTTGCGGGTGTCGGAGGACGCCGCGGTGATCTCGGCCAGACTAACTGGCCGAGGCACTTTCGCGGCCCCTGTCGCCGGGAGAGCCTCCCACCGTTTGTCCGGTCGCCTTTTAGGGGGGTTGCACTTGGCACTAACCACCCTATGGTCGGCCGGACGACCAAGTCCCGCGCAGACCGGGCACCTGACTTTTTCGGCGCAATTACGCGCCAGGTGCCCCGGTCCGCCGCATCTATAGCAGTAACCCCGGCGATCGATAGGGCTGCTGCAGTGCTGCTGGACGTGCCCTTTCTCCAAGCATCTGAAGCATTGGAGCGGGCGCTTGTCCAGCAGCTCCGCTTGTGCCCGGGACCATCCTATTTGGATGGCCCGGGCTGCCGCTATTTTATTAGCGGCCCTCAATGGGCACTGTACCCAGACAGTGCCCAGGCCGCGGGTTGGGAACTGCCGCCGCCCAATCCTGCAGGGCCTCGCCCCTGGCGTCTGTGAACCGGGAACCCCAACGCGTCGATTTTGCGTTAAAGTCCCCGGCCACTATGATTGGACGGGGCATCTGTCGGCGGAAACAGGCCGACACCCCGTCCAAAAACGCCTCATACTGGGCGAGGCCCACGTTCGGGGAGATGTAACACCCCAGCACTGAGATGGGCCCCCATCTGACCACCACAACTCCCGCCCCGGCCTCAACCGGTGTGCAAGGCGGGAGTGTGGGGTCACTCCTCCACGTGATCGCGACGGAGCCTGTCCGGTCGCCAATCCAACATGGACTGGCTTCCGGAACTTGGTATGGCTCCGCCGCGATCCCTAATCCGAAACCACGCTCAGCCAGGCTATGCAGGAAGAGATCCTGCGCCCGGCGAGCGTGGTTCAGATTGGCCTGCAGTATACCCAGGGGCATTTGTTTATTTGCCCCCGGGTTCCGCCATCACTACCTCCGCTAAGGAAGCGGGGGGTTGTGGCGGCTGCAGACCGGGCCCTCGGGGGCCTTTTTTCCCTGGGGGCCTCCGTCGGGGTCCCCCTATCCTCCGCCCCGCGCTTGCGGGTGTCGGAGGACGCCGCGGTGATCTCGGCCAGACTAACTGGCCGAGGCACTTTCGCGGCCCCTGTCGCCGGGAGAGCCTCCCGCCGTTTGTCCGGTCGCCTTTTAGGGGGGGTGCACTTGGCACTAACCACCCTATGGTCGGCCGGACGACCAAGTCCCGCGCAGACCGGGCACCTGACTTTTTCGGCGCAATTACGCGCCAGGTGCCCCGGTCCGCCGCATCTATAGCAGCAACCCCGGCGATCGATGGGGCTGCTGCAGTGCTGCTGGACGTGCCCTTTCTCCAAGCATCTGAAGCATTGGAGCGGACGCTTGTCCAGCAGCTCCGCTTGTGCCCGGGACCATCCTATTTGGATGGCCCGGGCTGCCGCTATTTTATTAGCGGCCCTCAATGGGCACTGTACCCAGACAGTGCCCAGGCCGCGGGTTGGGAACTTAACATCCCCAACCCGCACATCCGCCGCCTCGCAGCCCCCCGCCCAAGAGACGGCCGCCGCGATATCGACGGCCGCGAGGGATCGGTCGAGGCCACGGAGCCTCAGCTCCGCCTTTCTAATGGGCCGGGCGAGACGGACCCCCTCATCGCCGGCAAACACACGGCGGAGGTCGGCGTAGAGGGCATCAGCCCTCTGTGTCGCCGTTGGCCAATTTTTCTCGCCCGACCCCGTGAGCTCCACAACCATGGCCACCGTGGCGGCCTCACGGACCCGGAGGGAGTCTATTCCCAATTTCGGGAGGTCGATCTCCCTCCTGTCCCTGGTCATGGTCTCTTGGTACGCCCCGTCGGCGCAGGTTATGGTAACCGCTGCCGATCGGGGCGCCTCATTGCCGCATTACCCCGGCCGCCCGCCCACGTTGGGGACCTAAGTCCCTTCCCCCCCTGAGGACGTTGGGGACCCTTGTCCCTTGACCCCCCCAGGATACGTTGGGGACACAGGTCCCGTACCCCCCCTTACTCAACCTCTGTCCCTTCCCCCCGGCCGGGTGCTCCACTCTCACTGGAGCATCCAGCACCTCCACCGACTTCACCCGATGCACTCCCCGCTTTTTGCGGGGGGATTTCTCGGGCGAGCCGGGGAGGGCCAACTGAAGGGAGGGTTTGGCGCGTCGGACCGCCTCCAACTCCTCTCTGACCTCACGGACCTCCTTTTGGAGGTCCGCATTGCGGTCTCCAAGGGACTTCATGTCCCTACGGAGAGCCGCGAGCTCTCCTTCCCCTTCAATCCGTTGGGCTCTCTCCGCCAAGGTGCTGGACGCCACCCTCACCAGGGCCGCGGCCTCCCTCAGCTTCCTCTGGAGAGAGCCCTTTAGATTCCCGGAGCAGGCGGCTATCCGGTCTATGGCCGCCGCCTGCTCCAGGCTGCATGCCGCAATGTCCGGGGTGGGAGCCTGTCCCACCTCGTTGGCGCACTGTGCCTCGTAGGCCCGTAGGTCCCTACTAGGCGTAGGGAGGGGAGCGTCCTCCGATAGAGCCTTCCTGGCCAATCGCTCCCTCTCCCTCTCCTTCTTGAAGGCGGCCTGCCCCTCGCGCTTCTCGCGGAGGCCGACAAACTCACCCGTGGTGGGCGGTCTCCCTCGTCCCCTTTTCTTTGGGAGGTCGTCCTCTCCCATAGCGTCATCCCCATCGGGAGACGCGTACTCCTCAGTGTCCTCGCTGACCAGCGAGGCCCTTGAGGAGGAGACGGGGGTGGTACGTTTACTACCTCCGCCCCCGTGACGAATCCTCCGCCCTCTCGTCCGAGCGGGTGAGGCTCTTGCCCCGACCCGCTTCGCCCCGGTTATAGGGGTGCGCCCTCGCGGCCGAGACCGAACGCGACCGGAAGGACAAGGATGATGATATGTTGGCAATACTGCTAGTGAATTTCGGAACACATACTATGTATCACGCGCCATAAGTTAAATTTGCAAACTTCACTTCGATTTCTCTTTCGACGCCACTGTAACGCAAAACGTAAAGTAAGTATATAAAAATACAATAATTACATTGAAAACATAAAAAAATAAAAGTTAATTATAATTTGTTATGTATTAGAGAGAGATGTCTGAAAAAATGAAAAGACGTGAAAACTTCTCGCAAGAAGAAAGAGACATAATTATAAATTATGTGAAAATGAATTGCACAGTAATGGAGGATAAGAGTGGCAATGCAAAAATGCAAATTGCAAAAAAGCAGAAATGGAAAGAATTGGAAGAACAACTAAAAACATCGGGTTCTACACGAACATGGACCGAATTAAGGACAGCGTACCAACGGTGGAAGGTTGCAGCAAAGAGAAATGTGACAGCATACAGAAAATATTTGAAGAGCACTGGTGGTGGACCATCCATTCATAGGCCGTCGGAAATAGATTTCAATTTAGCAGAAATTTGTCCCGAGGACTTTGAAATGGATGAAAACATCCACGACAGTGATGGCCAAGTAAGTTTCATATAAAAGTTATATGTTATTAAAAATTAAAACTAAAAGATTTAAATTTTACATTTTCAATTGTATATATCCGTTGCGTGTGGTGTGTGAAAGCGTGTGTATATCAATAAATTATTATATTGACATTAACATGTACATAATATCAATAAATATCAAATACTACGTAATTTCGGAAAGTAAATACAATACGTAATATAATAATGATGGACATAAAAGTTTCGAAACAGAATAGATTTTTGAAATTTATAATGATCGTAAGTTTCGATAAAGATATCAATTAAGAAAAAGATGTCACATGTCTTGTTTTTAATGAAATAAGTAATCATAATTTTAATTATATAATTGATTAAAAATTATCCGGTTTCGTGTTTCGTATTATTTTAATTGGTACAATATCATTAATTCATTGTAATTATTTTCGGATCAATAAGCGCGGAAAACAAAAATTTTACAGTAACGGTATATAACGCGAGAGATTATAGATAAAGCGAGCCTTGCGATCGAGACTTCGGAAGTCTTTCATGTTAGCTATCTCGCTATAGAAGAAGAAAAATTATATTCTTTTTCCGTTAAGAGAAATATTGTTGCACAAACTCTTGACGAAAGAGATTATGGCCATGCTGCACTGGTTCTGCTTCAGAATTCATTGTAACATGGTCATCCTCTTCGTCGTCCAAATCCTCATCCGAATCTGCATCTAAAAAATAAAATAATTTGTCTTCTAATATTTTTAATATCAAATCATTTATTTAAAAATAGCGTATATATTATATACCATATGGATTGTTATCCTTAAATTTGTGTCGAATGTTATATAAAACAGCCATTGCTATAATGGCTGCTTTTGCTGTGGGCAAAGAAATCTGCATGCTATTCCGTAGAGCAAGGAACATGCCCTTCCATTCACCAAAGCAGCGTTCCACAATGATCCGGGTCCGTACATGGGATGCGTTGTAACGCTCCTCAGAAGGATCACGGGGATTCAGGATAGGAGTCAAAAGATATGGCTTGCAAGGGTACCCGGAATCTCCAAGCAAGATACCTTTTATCCTACCTGCCTGTAAAATTAGAAGTATATATTAATTATTAATTATTAATAAATTTATATAATGCTTCATATGTTACACCGCTTTATATGTTAACCATTTACACATAGTAATATATATTCTCATATAGCGATTATGATACATGTATGTAGTTATATAATTATATAACGATTTTACGTATGAATGTGTGTAATACGTTACTTATACTCAATTAATATAATCATTACCTCAAATTCATCCTTGAGGGAACATGAATCTCATATACGCGCATCATGGACGCTGGCTCTCCATCGAGCAACAATGTCCAAGATATGTCGTTCAGCATTACAAACCACCTGGATGTTTAACGAATAGAAACCCTTCCGATTTATATATAACGCAGCTTGTTCCTGGCTGGGGCATTTGATTGATACAAAGTACAATCAATACACCCCACAACCATAGGAAAACGAGCTACGTTATAAAATTCCTGTTGAAGGGTTTCTATCCGTGGTGGAAATTTAATAAATTCTGGCAGCAGTCCTGCCAGAACTCGTGATACTAAAGCAATAATCTTGGACACTGTTGGCTATGATACACCATGCAGATCTACTGCAATAAGAATGTTTTTTAGTTTTCTTCAGAAATATAATTTCATATTAATTATATAATAATTATTATATATACATATAATTATAATAATATGTATATATAAATAATAATTATATAATATTAATTATTAATATTATTAATATTAATTATATAATAATAATAATTATATAATAAATAACACGATTAGTTATGAAAAAGACTTACCCAATTCGACTTGATAACATCCTTTAGCATAATAGCGTAAGGCGATGAGGACTTGAAGAGCTGGTGTTAAGATATTTCTTCTAATAGAAATTGAAGATAACCTATCTTCTACTAACGAGATCACGAAACGCACACATTCTTTACTTAATCGATATCTTTGTCGAAACTCGCGATCATTATAAATTTCAAAAGGGTCTATTCTATTTCGAAATATTCGCAGATCACGATCACGTACTGCATTTACTTCTCGAACTTCGATTGCATGATCAATATCGTCAAACACATCCATGATTGTATTTGAAGTGTGCTCCGTTTGAAGCTAGTTTCGCTTCGAAGTACAAGATTCTTCGGCCGAATTAATTCTTCAAAGTGAAAATAGTGTTAAACGAAATGCACCCTTCAATGCATTTTATACATTACTATACTTTTAGAAGAAATTTCAGAATTAACCAAATATTATTATTATTATTATATAAAAGTTTTTATTATTTACAGAAACTTGATCTGTAATAATTTTATTAATGAAATCAATTGTATAACAGTGATAGAATTAATCAAACTTACGTACCATCAAGTACAACGCGCCGGTATTACGTATAAATGTACGTATAAATGTGCCCTCGGGCACATTTAGTGGTACATTTATCGAGAATGGCATAAATGTGCTATAAATGTGGTTCAGAATACGATTTTCACTATAAAGTTGCGCATTTAAGCTAAAAATGGCAATCTGCCTTTAAATGTGCCGCTAAATGTGCGCTCAGAATACCGCCACATGTATCGTGTCATCTAAGGTACATTTAGAAGCACATCTAAAGATAGATGTGAGCTCAGAATACGGGCCTTAGTCTTTTTTCCCACCATTAGTTATTCCATCAGCCGATCTGAGTATCGATCATGTAACTTTTCCCCTAGGGTAGAAAAGTGAAAAGTGAAAATTTTTGCCGTTGATTTTAATGCTAATATTGAGTGCGTTTTGGTAAAACACCGCTACAGTAGCGCTACTGTAGCGCTACAAGTGAGCGTTCCGGCGAGACACTGCTGCTGTAGCGCTACGATATCTTCAATATTTTCCATTATTCAAATCATTTAAAATAATTAGCGATAACGCTAATTGAGTATAGTGACACATTTGTAGCGTTATACTCAGTTTTACTAACTTTACCGCTACAATGTTAGCGAAAAAGCTGTAGCGCTGCGGTAGCGGTGTCTTACCAAAACACACTCATTTTTCACTTTTCACGTTTCCGCCCTAGAGAAAAAGTTAAGGTCATCACACACAAAATTCCGTAAGGACACAAAATGTAAGCGTAAGAAAATTGACCAATCCCAATTGAGTATTGGGCTTTCCGTAAAAGTGGAGGGGTTACGGAGAGCCAAATACTCGATTGGGATTGGTCGATTTTCTTACGCTTACGTCTTACGTCCTTACGGAATTTTGTGTGTGATGGCCTTTACATGATCAGTACCCAGAAAACACAATCGTTGAGTAGCAATGGAACGTGATTGGTTTTCACTTCTAGAACCAATAAATTAAAGTCGAGTGTTGACAAGACGATGCTCAACGGTTGTGGCTCCTGAACGCGCCCAATGAAAAAGTTTAAGCCCACTTTAATAGTTAAAAACTGGTTGGTTAATAGCAAATCGGATTGATCAAGTAGAATTTGATCAGCAATCAAAAATAAAATCCAGACAAAGGACACGTGCGTTTGAACACGTCCATTCTCGTTTACGAACGGAAACGGAAAGACCACATATTTATCGATATTTATTGATATTTATCATTCGAGCCTCTTTTAACTTTTTAATTTTATTATTTATTTTAAGCCATAATCGTCAAATACGTCCATGATATTGCAGTTGAGTGTGCTCTTTCAATCTAGTTTTGCTTCAAAGTGCAAGATTCTTCGTCTTAATTAATCCTTCCAAATGAAAATAGTATCAAACAAAATGCACCCTTCATTGCACTTTACACAACTATACTTTTAGAAGAAATTTCAGAATTGACCAAATATCATTAATATTGTTATGTAAAAAAGTTCTATTATTTACAGAAACTTGATCTGTAATAATTTTATTAATGAAATCAATTGTATAACAGTGATAGAATTAATCAAACTTACGTACCATCAAGTACAACGCGCCGGTATTACGTATAAATGTACGTATAAATGTGCCCTCGGGCACATTTAGTGGTACCTTTATCGAGAATGGCTTAAATGTGCTATAAATGTGGTTCAGAATACGATTTTCACTATAAAGTTGCGCATTTAAGCTAAAAATGGCGGTCTGCCTCTAAATGTGCCGCTAAATGTGCGCTCAGAATACCGCCACATTTATCGTGTACATTTAGAGATACATCTAAAGATAGATGTGAGCTCAGAATACGGGCCAATATCTTTACGAGGGACAACATTTTTGCGAGAAGGCGAGTGACTGCGGTATCGGGTAACAATGATCAGATATCTGGTTATGCTAAAAAGAAGCTCAGTGCGTTGAATCGCGAGTTTTTAAAATCGTTGGGATTCGTCGTACGAAATACTTGAACAATATGATTGACATCTTGAATATCGGAGGCGAGCCGATCTTTGACGATCGTATCGTCAGGATTGAGATTCATACGTACAATCTATACGCCAACACAACGCTTGGATATAGCGACGAGAAACGGATACCGATACAACATCAAGATTTGTACACGTTACCATGTGAAAGTTTTCTATACGTCGAGGGAAAGTTGAGGGTGCGTAAAGTAGATGAAGGGGCAAGCGTGGTATTGGGAAACAATTGTGTCGCGTTTATGTTTGATGAACTTTATGATGAACTCGACGGTGTGGAGATTGACCGCAACAGAAACTTTGGAATAACTTCCACGATTAAAAACTATGTCTCTCTAACAACCGAGAAAGGTAAAATCTTGGAGAATGCTGCGTGGAATATGTCGCATAATGCTGTTGAAGCTTACTTCAATTTTTGCGTGCCGCTAAACATACTACTGGGGTTTTGCGTAGATTATAAGCGAATTGTGATTAACGCTCGTCACGAATTAATTCTGATACGTTCACGCAACGACAACAATTGCGTATTTGAAAATGCTTCGATTGCATAAAAGAAATGTGCGCAAAAGAAATGTGCGCAAAAGAAATGTGCGCAAAAGAACTGTGCGCAAAAGAACTGTGTGCAAACGAAATGTGTGTAAACGAACTGTAACAAACGTTTATTTACCAAATAAAGTTAATAATAAATATCAAAAAATTGCGAAATTATACATGCGTGTGAATGTATTCCAAATTATACAAAAACATGTGTTGTATCCAAAAACAACATGTCCAATTGAACGGTGCGCAAATGAAATGTGTCCAATCGAACGGTGCGCAACTTTATGTGTCTAATATCACAGTGTGCAATTGCAACGTGTCCAATTGTACTGTGCGCAAGTGAGCCTCTCTCCTCTCGTTTTCGCAAATCTTATTACGGATGTAATAATGATGATGTGTAATCGGACATCACCACGGACTTCAATGGAAGGTTGGAAACGTTCCATACAGCATCGCTAGGCGTTTGATTACGAGAGCTGTGATGGGTGCGATGGAAGAGGAAGATGGAACATCTCCTATCGTGTACGTTAAAGGACACAAAAAACGAGAAGGGCTGGCCGATATACTTGACGATGATACAAGAAATGACGTTATTATTGAGACCTTGGATGCGGACTATGAAGATATCACTTCGTTAAATAAGCTAGATGTTACTAATACTATGCGTTGTGAAAAACATTTGAAAAATTGCGCTTTACAAAATGTATTTAAAATATTCAATTGGAGGACGAATCATCATAAAGATTCATCCAAACATTATTTAGAATAAACTATTGTTAAAATATATTTTTATTCTCTTTTATTCTTCTCTTTTCCTTTTTCTTATCCAAGTATGCGAGTATTAAATTTCAGTACGTGACGTTAGATAGCGGCGTCAGCCATTTAATTAAAGTATAGATGTTACATGTCTATAGACATAAGATTTTTAAAATAATAATTAGTTTGTCGTTTGATTATGGTTCAAAGCCGTTTAATAGCCGTTCGATAGCTGTTCAAAGCTGTTCGATAGCCGTTCGATAGCTGTCCAAAGCCGTTCAATAGCCGTTCGATAGCTATTCAAAGCTGTTCAATAGCCGTTTGATAGCCCGTTCAATGACCATTCGATAGCTGTTTAAAGCTGTTCAAAGCTGTTCGATAGCCGTTCAAAGCTGTTCGATGGCCGTTCAAAGCTGTTCGATGGCCGTTCGATAGTAGTTTAATAGCGGTTTGCATATTATAATAATAAATTAATATTTAAGAGACTTGTAGATAATTGTCCGCGAAAACGTGATTACTTTCGTCTTCTTATCAAGTGCAGAAGGTAAGCGTTTTTTGTAAGTGATACATCCCCTACTCTAGAAATATTTAATCGAGACAATGTCTATTCTCGTTATGTCCGTCACAAAGTGTTTGACAACGAATGAAGAACAGTGTTATAGTAAAGTGAAGTGAATAAAAATGTCAATATTTCGCCTTAATCTGGTAAGTAGTGTTCAGTATTTTCGTGTGCGACATTATGTATATGTATATTTATTAATATTATATTTCAGTTCGTGTAAATTGATATTATCCACCAGCGGTACATGCGGTGGATGAGGGGCAATTTTTGGTGTGTGCACGCCAATTTGTGGGGCGACACCCGAGAGGCCCGCGAGTGAGCGAACGTTCACCCGCACATTTACGAAGACATTTTCTGTTTG